ACTTTGAATAATGCTACAATGAAGACTAGTGTCTAAGTATCTGCACCAGTTCCTACTTTGAAGTCTTTTGAGTATATACCAAGAGTAGAACTGGTCCATACTGCAGTTCTCATCTAAGATTCTGAGGAACTGATACAATGTCTTCCACGGTCACTAAACCATTTTACATACCTACTTGCTGTCTCCTTTATTAAGCTGCTTAAGTTTCTTACCCATTTTTTAAATACATTAATTATAAGTAAGAAAAATGAGCACATCAGAAGGAAATAATGTGATAATTAACCATAATATAAGTTGTCCAAATAAATGCCAAACAATTGTGTATTTTGTTTGTAGTCATGTATCTAAGTTGTTGTTGTTATTATGTGCCTTCGAGTATAGCGACCCTATGTACAACAGCCCTAAACTCTGCTCTATCCTGTGCCAATCGCACTGTCTGTGACACTCCCATCCCGATTATCCCAGTCACTGAATCAATCCACTTCATAGAGGGCCTTCCCCTCCTGCGCTGTCCCTCCAACCTCCCAAGCATGATGTCCTTCTCCAAGGACGGGTCTCCCTCACATGTCCAAAGTATGTTAGACGGAGCCTCAGAATCCTTGCCTCCAAAGAGCCACCCCATTTAACCCTTTTCAGGATATATCTGTTTGTTTTCCTAGCCGTCCATGGTACTCTCAATACTCTGCTCCAGCACCACAGCTCAAATGCATCAATTCTCCTTCTATCCTCCTTGGTCACTGTCCAACTCTCTGATGCATAGCAAGTGATTGTGAAGACCATGGCCTGTATCAGACACACCTTAGTCTTAAAGAGACACCATTGCTCTTCAGTACTTTGGAGAGGTCCCTAACAGCAGACTTTCCCATCACAATAGGTCTTTTAATTTCCCAGCTACTGGTGTCAAGAGTGTTGACTGTGGAGCCAAGGAAACTAAAGCTCTGAACAATCTCAATCTCTTCATCATCCATCCTGATGCTGCCAGTTGGTCCAGTGGTGAGAATCTTTATCTTCTTGACATTGAACCTCAGTCCATATTGGAGGCTACAATCCTTGACACTCTGCAGCAAGTGCTTCAGGTCCTCCTCAGTTTCAGCAAGCAGGATTGTGTCATCTGCATAATGCAGATTGTTGATAAATTGTCCACCAATCTTGAGCCCACACTTCTCCTCATAGAGCCCAGCCTCCCGGATAATCTGTT